GGTAGTTCTTCACAGTGTAACTGTTTTCTTGGTTAAGCCAAAACAAGAAAGAAATAGTTAAGGCTTTTTACCAGCCAGAAAGAAAAAAAAACCCTCAGTAGAAAATGATAAAGTAAAACAGCTCTGAAGGGAGGTAATTTTGTACAGAAAACCAACAGATCTGCCCTAGATTTTTGCCCCAGGTACTCAAATTCCAGTCAGCATTTATTGCAGCATTTATTGCTTTAGGTGGTAGCTGTAATCTGTGCTTGATCTATAACTTCACTTGTTTGTGTTTGTTGGTCCAGTGTTGTCCTTGCTGTTGGTATATCCAGTTTCCCAGCACTGAAGTGCCCTCCCTTCCCAGGATTAGTATGAAAATAACCTCTGCTTTGACTGGGGACTAATTCACAGAACTTAAATAAAAAAAAATATGTACTATTATTTTCTTTGTACTGCAGATTCTTGTCTCTAATTCTTGCATCTATTTCTAATAGTTGTAGGTCAGTCTGTCCAACTCTACCCGCAGGGATTAACATGAGTGGAAACCTACAGGAGACTTGAGCTTCTGATGTATATTAAAGCAGTCATCATCTCTGCAATTAAAAACAGACACTGCCAAGATTTAACTTGCTTTACTGTTGATTTTGGTTTTTAACTGCCTTATGGGCTGAATCAATAAAAAAATCAAGTCCCTATTCTGCTGTATCAATCACTGGCAATATCATATTGATGTATACTGAAGCTGTAAACCAGGCTTGTTTAATGAGACCAGTCAGAAAAAGTAAGATTAGTTTATGCCACAGGAAGTTTAATCATGTTTCTCAGCTTATATTCTGTGGGCTGCATCTGATCTCTTAGGACCTTAAAAGGCAATGTAAAAATGGTCACTAAAAAAAGGAAAAAATAAAAATTTCTGTATGTTTGTACATGTGTTGGTTAAAACAAGCTAGTAATCAATTACAGATTTGCAAGCAGTTGTAGATTAGATTAATAATAACCATTGCATGCAGCATGCCAAGTGCATGCAAGTGCCCAGCCATCTTTTTTGGTATTATCCCACCTAAGGCAACAGTGGCATAAACCACTGTCTTCCTTTAGGGCTGCAACTGGATCCTGAAAAGGAAATATCCAGAAAAATACCCACAATGCTTCTAAAGTGTAGAACAGGGAACAAAGCAAAGCAGAAGACAGGACTGTTTTCTTTAATTATGAAGTGTCATGGTTGCAGCAGGCCTTTAGTTTGTATCCCATCCTTAACCCCAAATCTTGCACAGTGAGAAACACCTGGAGCCAAGGCTGGGAAAAACTGTGGCGCTCTTATGTCTGTAAACTTTAATTTCAGATACTTCTTCTCAAAGCAGTCCCCTGCTATTTGTTGAAGTTCTCTCCAGTGCAGACAAGAAGAAATTTAAGGCAGCGTTGGCACAGTCATAGATGTGTGGCAAGGTAGGGCATTAAACGTGTTCCTTTGCCTCTGAAAGGTCATTCTTCTGCTCAGAGGTGAGTGATTTTTTTTTCAACGTATTTGAAAATAGTCTGAGAAGCTGGTTATCACTGAAGTAATGAAATAAGTCATATCTGAAGCAGTGACATTTAATTAGCCCTTAGTATAGCCACTGGGACTATTTCACATTTAAATACTTACACTGAAAGGGAGATTTTCAACCCCCTTACTAATGTAGTAAAGAAACTGCATGATCACTTTTATTATAAAAATAATCCTTAGGTAAAATAGGAATATAATCAATAATTACACAAATACACATTTACAAATCTGTAAAATAGTTACTTATGGCACAGAAAATATAAATATCCCTGTACCTTGTCTCTGTGCAAAAAGACAGGCTAGTTTTAGTCAATAACCAGCCCTTTAATGGTTTTTTTTTCTCTTCTGATTTCAGTTAAACACAAGGATTTTCAGATGATATGTCTGAAAGTTCAGCATCAATAGACCAGAAAATACTTTCGCTTTTAATCCAGATAAAGCACAGTAAGATTTTTCCTATCTTTTGTCAAAATGTTCCTCCCTGTTCTTCAGCCTGCATTTTTGAAAGAAGAGGAAAATTTCAAGTTCAGTAACTTTTTTCACGAGCTGTCAGACTGCGGTAGAGAATTAGACCCAAATACAAGTCAAGCTGCACTCTGAAGCTGAACTACCACCGTAGGTTTCAGTTTAGTTGTAGTAGAATTTGCATTATGCTTGCCTTCTTCTTCTTTGTAGCTGTCAAAAATAATTTTTCAGAAAAACACTTTGCTTTCTCTTGAGGCCTTTCATACAGTCCAAGAGAAGGTGAAATTAAGCAAGAGGTAGATATTGTTCATTCTCCTAATTCCCAAGAGCTCTCCATTTGAATTACTCCTGTTTAGGACTGTAGGAGATATGTATAGAGCCAAGTTTTATGTCTATAAAGTAGTGATTGACTTACACCCCCTCATATCCCGCGGTCACTGACAACATTCAGCAACGTGCTTGAGGAATTCATCACTGAGTTCATCCCTGAAAAACCTCATGCAATGAGGGCATCTGAGTTCACCCTGTGCCCTGCCTTCGGAGCCCGAGTTTCCATTGTCCGCAGGAGGAGAAGCTTGTTCAGACTGTGAGGGTGTTCTTCTCGTGCCTGTTTGGCCTGGGCTGTTGCCCTGTAGATGTTCCACATTCGTCTGTAGGTACAGGTGATTCTGTTTACCAGCGTGAACTCTGAAATGACTACTTGTGTCTCTTGAGTCCTAGAAAGAGAAAGAAGAGCTCTTGAAAATGATGCAGTAAAAAGATATTCTTTAACAGGTGATATTTTATCAACCTTTATCTGAAACACTGCTCAAGTATTTATCAGATATTTGTAAATAAATTATTCATCAGGTTTTGCAGTGTTGTTAATATAGTTATAAAGAAGGTTTGTAGAAATATCAGAACACAGCCAGCATGCTACTTTAGAAATGCCACTGTTACAAGAGTCACAGCTGTCCTCTTCATTCCAAGAATTCACCCTTACTATGTTGATCCAAAAATAGGAAGGAAAATAGACTGGAAAGGGATATTACATCTGTACTGGGAAGCATCTATTAGAACTGACTATGAAATAATGTAAGTTTTTGACAGCTGCACTGAGCTGAAATGGTTTTAGAAGTACTAAAATTTTTTAAAAATACATTTAAAAGTATATTTTAATCTAGAATACTGTTGACATGCTTTAGTTGAAAAAGTAGCATGCTGCTTTCTTACCTGTCTTCTTGCTAGCTGGTGTTGCAAACATGCAACTTCTGCCTGAAGTTCTTGTATTTTGCTCTGTGCTCGTTCTCTGTCTGATCTCTCAGATGTGAAATCGTCTTTATAAACGAGGACCTGAAAAAGAATTATTATGTTAATATTTGTTAAGTTAGAGCATTTGTGGATGAGACTGAAAAGCTGAGGCTGTGATTCCTTTGTTACTTATTCCCAGAATCTCAACATTATCTTCTCTATCATATCTGTACTTCACAGGTACTTGTATTTCTTTTACAGTCTTTCATATTTTGTATTAAGGCCAGCAGAACCACATGCAGTTGTTTTAAGTAGCAAGTTTCCTTTAAATCCGTGTTGTTAAGTGTCTGTATAGCCAAATGTGGAAAGACAAGTAGCAAATGTCCAAAAAATAAATTGATTTTTCCCCCTTGAATTTCAGTGGTCTGGGAAGAAACTAGGAATTCCTACTTCTAGGAAAAAGAAATTTAATGACCTGTTGCTCCAGCATTTGGATGCGCTCATTATCTCCTTCACTAGCCTTCTTCATGTCTTCTAGTTCTCTCTTTGTTTTTATGCATTCATTCATTTTTTCTTCCAGCAGCTTGTTTAGCCGGAATATCTCCTTGTGCATCAGGTCAGAATTAGTTTGTGCTGAAGTCAGGCCGTGCTGCTGCTCCAGTTGTGTCTTCATCTCTTTCAGCTGCACGTGGAGTCGCTTCACATACTCATCCCTACTCGCATCGTATTTCTGCCATTTTGCATTCAGATCTTCCACCTGAAAGTTTAACCAGGAGACACATGAAGAACAGGAAGACAAAAACTTCCAAGCTTTCACAAACTGTCTTTATGTGCAGGACCAAAATTCTCTAAAAGATAATCTAACATGCTGACCCGACCACTGAGTGGGGATAAACCACTGTGCAGGAGAGCAGGAGTTACCACGCTGTAGAGCAGACTCTCCACAGGCAGCCTTTCCCCTCTCCCAGTCCAAAGGGACAGTGTTAAATAATGTGGAATGGAGGGGTTGGTGGTCACCCTGGTCCTAGTGCTGTTCTCCTGGAGTGCAATACTGATGCATGGAAGGAACACGAAAATCTTCTGCACTGTATTTTTAACAACAAAACCCCAATACGTTAAAAGTAATGTAAGAAGTTGTTCTTGGCTAAGGGAACAAAAACTATGTTGAAAGGACTAAGAAGAATTGCCTTACATTTAATTAGATTAACCAGGCCTTGTCCCAAGTTTACTGTAATTCAAAATAATTGATCAACTCTTAAACAAAATGAAAGTACTCACGTGAGCCACTTTTTGTTTTAACATCCTGTTTTCATCTTGTAGGTTGCAGATAAGAGCTTGAAGTGAAGTTTCATTGTCTAAAACCTGTAATTTGCAGATAAGGTAAGTGTTACTTGGACATAAAAATCCCAGATGCTATTTGGCTATGCTGTTAAACTGGAAGTAACCTTTTTCTTTAAATTCCTCTAAAACTATTTGCTATCAATGAAATAATGATCTATTTATTTCTATATAGTGTGTTTCTAAATATTAATAGTATAGCCTACACCTTTTATTATTAATAAGTAAAGGAAAACTGTACTAAGGTTTTTACCACTTGGTACTGCTTTTAAATAGACCTGGTGACAACAGAGCTTAGCAGGTTACAAAAACTCCTTGGAAAACCACTTGTCTGGAGGGGCAGAATGCATGACAAAGGCAGAGATATGCCTTCATCTTGCTTTGTTATTACTGTCAATTTTGGCCAGTACTAGGAAGAAATTACTGAGGGGAAAAAACCCTGCTTGCTAAATAATTGACTAAAATGATACCTCTTTTTTATAGTTGTGACATCTGCTTAAAAAAACCCCGGTGTACATGAGTAATATAGAACACTTTTGTGCAAAATTCCCTAGAATCAGCTAGTAGTGGCATCTGAAATTTCTCCTCTTCAACAGGGAAGTCCCCGCTGTACAAGGTTAGCTACTTATTACATATATCAAAGTCAATCAAGTTTCCTGTCTATCAATTACATGTAAAATACGTGTAAATTTTCCTCAAAAATACCAAATGTTTCGAGTCCTTTACAAAGTCCTTTTTTCTTGTATCTACTCAACCTCTAACTATTTCTTACAGGTAACTTTAACATGAGTAAGTTTTCTTTGGAAACACTGCTGGGAAGTTTTACAGAGTAGACATGAGCACGTCAGCACAGATAAGTGGTCATGTGAAAAAAAGCAGTACCAACACAGAGGAGAAAGAGCATGAGACAGAATTATTCTTTTCTGTGAGAACTGGCTGTAGCACCCTACTTAATACTCTGACCAGTTATTTGAGGCAGCACTGCTAATGTTATTTCCTTGTGGTGTTATAATGAATTACCTAAAGACTCTAAGCCATCAGGACTTCTGGAACAACAGAACAACGGGATCTGCCTCTACCCTACGCTGAAAAGCTTCAGCTGAGGTGATGATGTGGCAAAGCCAGAGAGCCATTAGCAAAGTACACCAAAATCCAGGTGTTGGTTCTCCACAGTACTGTTTCTGCCACTGTCCTATTGTGAAGCATTTTTTCTAAACATCTCTCCTGGGGAGAAACATGGCCTTGCAGTGGGATGCCAGGGGGAATCCCATAGCCAAAAAAAAACCCAAAAAAGGTAAGACACCTTGACTCATTCTTCCCTAACCAACTTTCTGTAGGTCTGTACTACATGTGCAAAGCCAAATCCTGATCTGAGAAAACCACGTGCTCTAGAGTTCTTAATATAAATACTACTTTGAAATATCTCTACTTTGTTTTGTGATTTTGATGCTTAAATAGGTAATCAGGAGAGATCACCTTCAAAAACACAGCACCATCTAGTGCTGCACAGAAGCACAGGGTGGTATAAGAAAGGTACTGTCTCCTATATATGGAGAGAAGAATTGTAGTTGTGGAATTGCTGAGGTCGAAGGAACCTCTTAAGTTCTTCTTCTCCCCAAAAAAAGCATCCAATGATGAGATGAAATAGCCAAAGTTAAAGTGATAGCTGCTTCCATCCTAAACTTTTGGTACTTGGAATTATTTAGAGCTTGCCAGGGTAGTCTTTACACCCTACATGAAATTGTTCAAAGGGATGTACCTCACTGTTCCTCAGTTACAACTATCATATTGTAATTAACACCACAGAAGCTAATAAGACTTTAAAGACACTTAGTAGTAGCTATAAGAATACCTGATTAGATCTTTCAGTAGCTATCTGGTCATCTGAATTCCTCTTCTCTTTTCTTTGCTTCTCTTCTAGACACTTAGCCAGATGTTGACACATTTCTGCTGTGGATGCTAATTTGCGTTGAAGTTGGTGAGTCTCATCGGTGAGTGAACGGCACAAAACATCACTGGTGGCTTGAGCCTTCTCCTTCTCTGCCAAGGTCTTCTGCAGTCGTAAGATTTCTCTCTCCTTTTCATATGGAGGTTGATTTATCATCTGCTGTATCTCTCCATTTTTCTCCTCTAGCTGCTGATTCAACTTCTGTACTTCCTAAACAGAAGGGGGAGGGGAAGTTACTTAAAAGCAAAGTAAACTCAAAAGCCAAAATATGTCTAAGACTGAATTCCCTGTTGCAGTTATTCCATATTGCTCCTATACTCACTGCAAAGTACCTAAAAACTAAAAAAAAATCCAGTTCATCTCTATATAATTACAGGACCTTGGAACTGACAGATCACACAGTCAAAATCTTCTTGGGCAACTATACGAGTACTTTCTAGTCTGTAGAATGGAGGAACAAGCTGCAAAATTCAGGAAATATTTATGAATTTAGCAACTAATTGAAGATGGAACTTACAAGAAACAAAGTATTTTAGAAGGAGTAACTGTGGAGACTGAGAAATGCTTACAGGTCCTGCACTCTAAATTACCAGATAGTAGAGATTTTCCTCAAAAAAAAAAAATGGAACTGTAAAGTCATCTTATCAAAACCCAATGCAGTGCATTCACTGCCTGGCACTGTCACAAGGATAAAGCAGAGGTAGCACACAGGGCAACTTTCCCCACCTAAGAAAGGGTGGGAACAGTAAGGTAAGGACAAGCAAACAAAATCTGTGGGGCAGCAATGGCTCTAGTTTGGCCATAGCTGACTCTCCAAGGTAGGTGAGGGGGTCTGACACACCCTTAGGAAACAACCCTGTGTCTTGTTGCTGCACATTCTTGTTGGTTTGGAAGCTCTGCATCCACACTGCATTAAGGTAACACCTCTGCAGCTGTTTTGAGAAGGAAGCTGACTGGGGCAAACCACCTGTAGTTCCATGCACCTGAAATACACCAGTCCTGACTTTGTCAAAAAACTTGTGCTCTATACCCTCAAGAAGTAGCAGATGCTGGTAACAGAAACCTCAGCAGCACTGCTCCTCCAGAACCAAGGATGCCCTGGATGCCAGCACAGACCATGAGACAGCTACAAACTTGACTCTACCATTCCAGTTATTATTTTCAGTGTCAGTTATTTCAGTGTTCTGATTGGGCATAAAATTTTATTCTTTCAAGAAATAAATCTTAACGTCTACCACAGAGAAATAGCACTTGTTCTTATTACTGACATTTAAATTCTTTAGCCCCATGCTAAATGCTAAAGATATTCAGCATCAGCCTTCAAAATATGTTCAGATACCACGGGTTTGTCATCTGTCTGCAAAGTGTCAATAAGATCATCTCTTATAACAAATTTCCAAGCAAGAAGTTTTTAAAATGTATTTTAGGTGAGTGTCATATATGGAAAATGTTTTGTATAAGCATTAGGTCAAGAGAGTGCTTATGACAAAAATACTCGTTTCCATTTTGAGTACTGTTTCTCAGTTTGGAAATTACTTCATGCAGCTTCATCTGGAAACAAATGCTTTAAAATTCTTTTGAGTATTTCAGACTGGACATAGGAAAGTCTTAATGACAGTAACCAAAACAGCACTTGTGGTGGATGGGAGGGATTCAGTTTGGAGACTTTTTTTCTGTCAAAAAAGATACTGATTCCCTATCTATTTTCTCACAATCCAAACTTGCCAGACGATACTTCTCCAAGTTTAAAAATGCTGCCTTTATGTCAATATATAAGAGCACTTTAAGAAAAAAAACAAACTACACTTTAATAGAAAAACTGGTGGCATCATCTTAGAAAACTGTTGCATCTGATAATAATTTTCAGTAAGTAGTCTTCTATAAGTAACATGGAATTCCAAATTCAGGCGGGATTTTTTACTATTTTTCTTTTTTTTCCTTACGAAAACAGTTGCATGAAGATTTATAACGCCACGCTAAGTCTTTGTTTTAGGATTTTACGTTTTTGAACTTAATGCTAAATAGAAGCCACTGTCGGATACAGAGGGCTGAGTTGCTTTGGAGCAAGTCCTGTAAAAGGCACCAGCATCGCTAGGCGAGGGTGCGAACACTCCCCGTGTGTCTGTGCTCCTGAGCCGCGCCGGGCGCGTCCCTTGCGCGCCCCCAGCTGTTCCCATCACCCGAGCGGGCAGTCTGGGAGCAGAGTCCCCGCATCCCGCGCTCCGCACCACCGCTGCTGCGCTTAAACCCCTCGCTTTCTAGAGAGCCCCGCGGCGATGCCGCTCCCGCGGAGCCCCTCCCTGCGCTCCAAAGCTTTACCTGGCTCAGCGCTTCCACCCTCCGCGCCGAGAGCCGCTCGCTGTCCCGGAGCTGTTCCCGGGCCTGTCCCAGCTGCTCCAGCAGGCTCTCCACCAGCGAGCGGGCCGGCTCCGCGCGCCCGCCGCCGCTCTCCGCGCCGGGGGCTGCGGCTGCCGGGCCAGGGCTGCCCCGCAGCTCCCGGATCGTCGCCTCCTTGGCCGCCAGCTGCAGCTGGAGGTGCTTCAGCTGCTGCGCGGACTCGTGGTACAGGGTGCAGAGCGCGTTGTACCGAGGCACTTTGTTCTTCAGGCTCCTGTTCTCCCGGTGCAGCTTCTCCAGCGTCTCCTCCACCTGCCTGAAGCGGGCCACGAAGGGGTCTGTGCTGCCGCCCTCGCTTACCGAGCACATGGCCGGGACAGGTCCCTTCTCCTCCTTCTCCAGGGCGAGCAGTAACGCGCGACAGGTGGCATTAAAAATCCCGAAGCAGAGCAGGGCCCTGCCAAGCAGCTTCTCCGCTCTTTCGCCTTCCCCCGCGCAGGAGGCGCGGCCGCTCCCCTTTTAAGGGCTCGGCCGGGCCGGGGCGGGGCCGCTCCGCCCCCCGGGAGAGCCCCGGGCGGGCACGAGCCCTTTTCCCGGCCGCCAGCCCGGATTCGGCCCCCGGGGGCAGCGTCAGGCGGGGAACCCCGGCAGGCGCCGAACGGAGAACAGGCAGTGGGGGCGGGGGGAGAAACCCGGGGGCGAGGGAGGAGCCCCGGGGCGAGCGGGCGGCTCCGAGGGGACGGGGGAAGTCCGGGCTGAGGGGGGAATGAGGGGAGGCGGCGGCAGGAGGGGCGCTGGCGGGGAGCGGGGCCGCGGAGGGGGAAGCGGGGGTCCCGGCGGGGCGAGGGTCCCTCGGGGAGCTGGAGGACGGGGCCGGCTCCGCCTTGCGAAAGCCCCGGAGCGCGGCGTCCTCCCGGCGCCGCTGCGGGAATTCCCGGCTCGGGCCGGGACTTTCCCCGCCGGCGGCGGCCCCGGGCAGGGCCCGCCCCGCTCCGCCTCCCGGGACCGGCCGGGATGGAGCACCTGCATCCCACCCTGGCCCTGCCGCCCGATCCTGAGGCAGCAGCGGGAGAAAAAACGCCCGGGAAATGCTCTGTGTGTGTTGTACCTGCACCGGTGGCGGGGGGGGTGGCTCCGGACCCAGAGCAACACATCTCTCCTCAAAAGCCGCGTGCCTGTGCAGGTTTGGAGGAGCATCTTTCTTAGGAAAGGCCTCGAAGAGATCAAAATCTTCTGGACATCAAAATTCATGTCATTAGCTAGTGTTTACATGCTCTGGATGAGCTGATGAGACCAAAACCAACTCCCTGACACTGAACAAACAGGTGCCCACCGGCTGTCCCTGCGGGGGATAACTTTTTTTATTGGTAGTGTAGAGACAGAACTTGTTAATCAATGATATTGCTGTCAGAGAGGTCACGCTGGTGTGGTGTTTCTCATAGGAGGATGGGGAATACAGTAAGCTGGACTGAGAGTATATTTTGGATTGGTTTAGTTATGTCCCTGTTACTATTCTGGTGGAACAGCATGGCAGGAAAAAGCCTTAAACTAGCATGAAAACAAAGCCTAGATTACATTTGGTTATTGCTTGTAATAATATTAATTGTATGCATATGTATGCGTGTGCATAAGAATGTGTACAACATGGAGCTCTGTGTGTGCACACAGCCTTATTGCACAAGGTTCAGCACAACCACAGGAGATGTTTCTGGACCAAGAAGCCCAACTGTCCAATAGAGAGCAAGTGAAAATCACCACATGCAACTGGTAGAGGGGGCAAAAAGAGAAGACTTTAGTTGATGTGATAGAGAGTAGCCACCTGTGTTAGCAGGTGTCAGGGTAAAAAGATACAGCAATGAAAAATTTGTGTGGAAGAATTTACAGGAATGGGAATGTGAAGAAAGGAGAAGGTAAATTTCAGAGTTGAGACAGTTGCGCTGGTGATGGAGCAAAAGTCTCATGGTACTGGTGCACATGAAATACAAGACAGAATATTTCAGCCTTTCATGAAGACCATGGGTGCAGATTCAAATGAGATAAGTTGCAATTAAGTACAGGGAAAACTTTTAAGGGTAATCAAACATTGGAAGTGCTTTGAGCGGGAGTTAGGGCAACAGACCTCCTGAGGTTCCTCCCAACCTGAATTATTCTGTGATTCAATTAAGCTTTTTTGAGGTGGAAAGTCACAATTTTGTCATCTTAATTATGCTAGAAAGTTATCCAAAATATTACAAGTAATAGATTCAAAATAGTCCATTAGCTTAGCTATTCCTGAAAATATAACTGAATTTTATGTGCATAGAAGATCCTGTATGGCAGAAAAGGGTAAAACTCTTGTCTGTGGTACAGGTCTCTGGCATATCTGCCATTTCATCTAATAAATAGTGTAAATAACCCATGATTAAGGACAGTGAAAAATCTGTGTGGGAGTTGAGGCAATACAATTTTTGACTTTTTACTTGTTCAGAGTTATATTCTACAACCTTAAGACACTGATTTTGCTGTGAAGAAAGTAAAGTTCCTGCTTTAAAATACCTGCACTTTACAGTTTTCATGTACAGTAGTAGGAAAAGGGAAAAAAACTGTAGTGTTACATTTTCATTATTGTCTTACAGTCAGAGCTAAGTGAAAAATCTGGAGCAAGATTGCTTTTGCTGACTGTCAAAATATTTTGTAGAAACGCATGATGAAGCCCTGTAAATGGAGAAACATTTGATTTCCTGCCAATCCAGATAGCAAAACTCCAAGTAAACTCTGCAGTCCCGTGCTTGCAGCTGGGGCAGTGATATCCTTACACCGAGCATCACGGAATTTAGTGAGCTACCAAACAGAAGCCTGTATAATACAGTTACCTTTGTAGCATTGTATCAGTGTATTAAAATCAAGCTTTGCATCCGAGTACTGAAAACTTGGCATGAATAGTGCTTTGGATAAAACCAGCAGTCCCCTGAGGAAAACACCGCTGACTTCAGGGAAATTTGACCTGCGTAAGTCTTGAGTAAGAGACTGATCCCATATGTCCTCGGGAATGCCCATAGATGACTGTTTCCTTTTGTCAGTTCTGAAATGCGGAGGAATTCCTGGGAATTCAGTAAAAGAAGCTGGTGCCAAAGAATGAGTCACATCTTAAGACATGTTTCGTAGTGTACCTGGCTTTTCCTGGATTGCCTCTCGTGTGCTGTTCGCCCAGTTTGCTGATAAACAGCAGGCCTGTGGGTGCTTTTCTTTTTTTTTTCCTTTTGGACAATCATGAAGGCTTATTAAGTACAGTAATTCTGGTCAGCAAATAACTGCATAAACAACAGATATGCTCTGCATGACTTCATATAAGAAAAAAAAGTTCGTTTTCTGTACCCTACTGGTCTCAACATGAAATACAAGGTGAAGTTCTCTTTAACTTTCTCAGTATAGGATGTAACAGGATATTAAACTTAAGTGGGAAAAATTTAACCTAATATTTTGTTAAAGGAATCTTAACAAAGTGGTTTTGAATAAGTAATTCTATGCACGTCACAACTTATTATAATGTGTGAGTCACGTCATACAGTACATGAACGAAAGTGTTTAGATATTGCCTAGAAACAAAAAGGAGGTGAAGCAGATCTT